CCAGTCTCGGAGCCCTGGATCCAGGAGATAAGGGGGTCGGCCAATGAGGGCCGGGCCCTGGAGGGGGTTTGGAAGGAGCACGAGGTGGTCAATGGGGTCGTAACCTTTCCAGGACACTCGGCCACAGGTATAGGCCAGTGCCGAGTTCGACATCCAGAGGCAGGTTTAGCACAGGTCACCGCCATCTTAAACGGCGTCGAGAGGCAGCAGGTGCTGCCCATCAAGTGCTTGGGGAAACTTGTCGCGCTCAAGTCCAAAACGGTGGGCTCGGACAGACCGATCGCGCTCGCTGCCTCGCTCTACCGCATGATCATTCGACTTCGGAGGGGGGATTTGGTCATGAGAGCTCGCCGAGGCAGGGCGCTGGGATGCGATCGAGGGATCCAGTTGGCTAGGGGCAGGCATCATTTCAACGCTTTTGCAGAGGAAGCGTGCTCAATATTGCCGTTGTCGAAGGGCTCTTGGACACAGAAAAGTTCCGCGACGCGATCAGCGCGCGCAAGTTGGCGGGTAAGGCCAGGTAGATGGACCATCCCAAAGTTGGCCTAAACCTTGGTATTATCACGCACCTGGCAGCACGCTTCCTGACCACAGACATGGGCACCAGCGAACCCATCATCCCGCAGGGCAGTATTCTCGCTGGTTGTGTGCAGAGTATTGCGTGGACTCGAGTCCTCTTGCGCGATCTGCTGCGTGCTGCGCGCCTTCAGTTCCCTCGGCTCACGCTCGGGACATGGGTCGATGATCTTCGTGCTAGGATGGTGGCCTCCGAGAAGGCCCTGGTGGGGCAGCGCCCCCAGGTCATTTGGTTCCTAGAGGATGGGCGCCAGGAGTTAGGCTGCGGGCTCTCCCCCAAGTCCGCCCTCCTCTCGAACGACGACGAGGTCAGAGCGCAGATGATCGCGGACTGCCAGGCCAGAGGCACGCCCCTCCATAGCAAACTCAGTACCAGGGATCTCGGGTTAGATTCCACGGCGGGGAGGCGCGGGCACCTCAAGGTCCGTCGGGCTCGGCAGCTTCTCGGGTTCATGCGGGCGAAGAATATGAGGGGGCTCCTGAGGGTCGCGAAAGGCGCCCGCGCGCTCCATGGGACAGGTGCTCAGCCACAGGTACAATGGGGACTCGAAGGCCATGGGGTTGCACCGACAGACGTTAATTTACACTGATGTGCAACAGGATCAGTACTCGGAGTCAGTAAACCAGGGAGTTGTCTCTCACCGCAGGGCTACATCATGCGGAGTTGCCGCCTGAGGCCCTGGGCCCAGCCATTTTCATGCGCGTCGGGCTCGTGGACACGTGGTGCGAGGTGATCAAAGCCGAGCCGCAGTTGCGCGAGGGTATCAGTGACGCCTGGCCCCGCATCCTCAGGAGGCCCCAAGGGGTATGTATATGGAACCAAGTACATGGCCACCTCGGCGCCGTGATCGGGGCCCTCTTGGACCCCGGTTGGGGCCCTGGATCCGCGCGGGCCTGGGAAGGGCCAGCCGGGGGAATCTTTTATGTGCGGGCCGAAGAGTACGAGGCGCAGGACTATTTCATGTGCAGGTTCCATCGTTTATTGCAACAGAAGGTTTGGACTGCCGCCCAGACAGGGCTCAATTCGAGCGGGTGTCAGGCAGGAGTCGACATTCGCTGTTCCAGGTGGCAGATCGAGCGTCTGTACCGCGACGGGCACCAGCACCTCGCGAATGCGCTCGAAGCCGTGGGGAGCCGCTCAGCTAAGAGTCCCCGACGGCGTTTCGAGAGCGGCCTGCAGGAAGACAGCGATTGCCCGATCTGCGGAGACCACTACTGCGATGATGGGCACAAGTCCTGGGGATGCCCGCTCCTCTTCCGAGATGGACACCCTCGGATCCAGGAAACCTAGGACATGATTGACATGGCTCACTATAGTCACGGATTCCCTCTACCTGTTCAGAGGGCATAGGAAGGGGCCCCGTCGGAGACAACCTTCCAGCCGGCGGTCTGGCAGGAGTGTTGGTCAGTCTTGAATGCTCGGATAGGCCAGAATTCCTACTTCAAAGTCAAGTCTCACATGTCCACGCCCGCGGAGCGGGCGAAGTATCCAGCTTGGGCGGTCCTCGCAGATGAGAAAGCCGACGAGCTAGCCAATGAATCCGCTGCGCGGGCTGCCGTCCCCCCGGACCTCGCCCGCAGGTTCGAGGCCGTGGATGCGCTGGCAGAGCGAATCCGAGGAAGGCTCGCAAAAGCGCAGATGTTATGGTGGACGCACTACCCAGTCCAGCAGGAGGCCGCCGGCTCCAAGAGAGAACGACGGCAGGCCAGATCCGAAGCTGCGTTCAATCATCTCCTGGAAAGAACTTCCCGCTGGCCAGTTCTCGAGGGTGAGTTTGTCAGGTGCAGCAGGTGCCAGAAGCTGACGCAGAGCTGTCGAGCTGCTCGGTGGCTGCGCCTAGATGGTGTCTGCCCTTCCATGCTCGTTAGCAGGCCAGTCGTGTTTTCAGCCAGCATGCCCTTCCGTCCGCCAACAGACCAGACG